TGGCTCGCCCTGTCAACGTACCTAATGGTCTTTAAATCTGAGACAGTTTTTTCGTGGCTCTGATAAAACTGTGCAAACTTCAGAGGAACCGTTTGGTAACGCCTCTTTAATGTTTTAACATGACGACGCCTCCTGAAGATGCATCCGTAAAGAAACTCTTGTCTGTTTGGTGATGCAAAATGTGACTTGCTCACATGGAGCCACGTCTTCAGTTCAGTTCGTTGGGATGAATTCATGTGGTGAGCCAGACCTTAACACTAATAGGCCAATAAAACCTCATTATGCTCTTCTGGATGAATGGGAGCAGATCTGTGCAGGTGTAACACCATGTAGTGCTCACTAATACAAGCAGTTACAACCACCAGGCTTGTCATCAAGACGATTTTGTTAACTAGAGCAACATCTTGCTCAAATCACCGCCCGACTCTGAGCGCTGCTGACCAGCTTAGAGAACCTGGTTTGTAGGTTCCGATTAAAACCAAAATTCTTTGGTGGCTGGTTTGATTGCTTTAGAGCTTTGCCTCCTGCTTTCCTCTTTCCTTCTCCATGTGTATTATTGTACAGCTTGGTTCAGTCTGGTACATGGACTATACCCTCATCTCATCCCCTCCTATCTGTGGGCAGAAGGAAAAACGATCATATTTGTTCTACAAAATGTCAACATATCGATGTTTCCTGAAATAGATACCCTCAAACACACAGAAGGTTTTGTGTGACCCTTCCTTCAATCCCCTCTGTATAACCTCACAGTGGGCAGTATTGTCTCTGTAAAAAGGCACCAACGTTTTCACCCTAAAGAGTGTCACTATTCCCCGAACTGAGACCTCACAGATGTAGCCTTTGTGTCCAAATGAAAGTCTTTGACAGGTTAACGTTTTTAAACCCCCTCCTTCATTAACTTGCACCTCTTCCTCATTCCTCACCCCCTACCATTTACGGTAGGATTATTTACAGAATAGAGGAAACATTAATCATTAAACAAATCACCAGAAGGACAAAGCTGATTTAATTTGTTCCTTCTACAATAAGCACAAAAGTAAATAAAACTTGTTTAATTTTTTTTAGAAACTCTGTGTCACTCACCAGACAAACAACAGGCGTGATGTAAAGCCAGCAGATCTTCATCAGAGGCCACGGGCGATAACCTATCATGTCTTCGATGTTGTCATAGAGACGGTCGGCGCCTGTTCAGAACAGTATCATGAGTTAATACTATGTTTGAAGACATTTAAAAATCCAGTGCTGGAGTCACATTTTCATATAAAGCAGGAAGCACACTTAGCCTGGATAGAGGAAGTGTTTTGTCCTTCATACAAAATAAGAATAAGTTTCCACCATCAACCCATAGATAAAGTTTTAGCAATCATATAATCATGATTGGTAAATTTATCCTACAAATAGCTGTGATCATGATTATTTACTGAGGTTTCTCACAGCTGTGTGACTGACTTTACAGGCACACTATCAAATTTAATTAAATTATGTCATTCACAGTAGTGACATCATCTTACAACAAATACATACACTTGCGTACACTTTGAGAAATTTTTTAAAAGTTTCATCTCTTATTAACGCTTAACATTTCTACTGAGAGTAAGAGGAGTTTCTGACACAAATTTTACATTTGTTGGCACCTGCTCACTAACTCCAAATCACAATACAGTCGTGACTCGATAGTCCGGCACTAAATGTAAAATCTTTTTTTTATGTCGGATATCAAGGCTGTCGGATTGTCAAGACGGAGGTCCAGATACAAGGAGAGCTTGATGCTTTAAGGCTCATTTGTTGTTAATTATTGTTCATAGTTGTTATAATAACTAGTAGGGCTGGTCCCAGCAGCACTTTCTGCTCTCTGGACATTCAGGCCCAATTAATGATGAATATTCGACGCGGTCGGGGGACACTTCCACCCCGGGGCAGCGCTCCGACGGGGTGGAAGTGGCCGTAACACACAGGCGGTACTTGACTGCTGATGCTAGTTTAGTTAGCGCTCACACTTCTGTTTCCACCATCGGTGGCGGCGGGGGAGTGGCAGATACGCTCCACCGTTACCATCCATGTTTACTTCCATAAACACTGAGCACGCTCGCTGCGTGTGACGCCGTCGTGTCCTCTTGTGCGCATGCGGGACACTTTTGAAGTTCACACAGCAGATCACATACAAGTCGCATTGAACTGGAAACGTGAAGGAACTCACAAAGAAATCTGAACTGAGCATTAAGTCCTGCAGTGTGAACGTAGCCAATCTGTGGGATTGTTCAGTCAGATAATACGCCGTTATCCTGATTGGTGACATAAAATGTCATGTTGGAGTCAGAATCCAAGGCTGTCGGTACGTTAAGGCTGTTTCTATGGGTTCCGTTTGTTTTTCCTAAAACCCTGTCGGATAGCAAGGTTTAGGATTGTTAAGGGTCGGATCATCGAGTCATGACTGTGTTTTGTATTGGTCAAACATTTAGAGTTTTCCTAACACCTACATGGGAGTGAACTACAGTCCTTCCTATGCTGATAACTGATGACAGTTTGGGGTTTTAAAATCCCATTCAAAAGAGAGATTAAGATATTTTCCCTCTTTTTTAAAATTGACTCAAACTAGTTGTGTGTGATTATATTTCATATTGCTCACTGATGTGGTGTAGTGCTTCTGAATCCTTACAGGTGTTATAATGTGCCTCTTTTCAGTATTCTGACATTTACATATTAGAAAAAGATCATTGAAAAGCATTGTAGGAAAAAGACAGCACAATAAAACATGAAAAATGAACAAGACGAAACAGTTTCGTCAAGTCAAGACAACGTTTTTATGTTGATCATCTAACAGCTGCTGCCTAAAGTGTCTTCCAGTAAATAGGACTGTGACTGGGGTTACAACGTTAACTACAGACTAAATCCTGCAGTTTATACCCTGTAGCGTCATTTAAAGTGTGAGTATAAGTGAGTAGTTTTCATATTAGACAAAAACTCTATTACTGGACCATAATACCTACAGAGTCATAATTACAGAGAACAACCTCACCGATGTAATTATAAAGCTACGGTAACCTGAAGTATTGTGAATTATGGAACTTAACCTAATAATAATAATAACAAAATATAAATATCTAATCTAACCCTACAGGACTATTATATTATTATACTTACTTAGGGTTAGGGTTAGCTAGCCTGGCTAATTTAGAGCTATTTTTCATAGTATTTTATGTATTTTTCTGTTATATTATTATGTTTTATTTATATTTCTATATTTTATTCCCACTGGGGCATCAAAGCTAAAGCCAAGCTGTGTGTTTGGTGGTCGGCTTTAAGATTTACGCCACTTCTCATACCAACTATTTTTCTCACCCGAACCCCTGTGAGGCAGCATTTAAATCCCCGGTGACAAGGGGGCAACGTGATGGACATGTTGTTTAACAGCGATTGTCTCGAGCTCTTTTAGATCTTTTGTGTTTATTCACATTCAAAGAAAGAGGGCCAAAGAGACCACACCCCTACTCAGGAGGACGTGATGTCCGTCAAGCTTAAAAAAACCTGAAACAGGAGCGGCGGTGGGAACAAATCTCAGCGTCAAAGAGAACATAGGAATTAAATTAGTAGAAAATATCAAGGAAATCAAGTGACAAAGTGCCACAGCAGTGATATAGTTGGCTTCTTATGTGGGCGCATACGCTCCAAAGGAATGCAGGTCAAGTGGAAGGCGTCTGCACTCATTTAGGGATGAATGAAGCAGTTTGTTGTTTTGTTTTGTTTTTACAGAATCGTTTTGTAAAACTGCACCCATGTGGAGAAACTAAGCACTCAAAACCCAACTCATAACCCAAACCAGTGGGGAAGCTGTTCAGGCGCTGACAGGACGGAAGGCCACGTCATCTTCAGAGCATCAGTTTGACCACATGAAATGGAAGCTGTTCTGAAGATTCACCCTTTATTCAGTACTTCTTTCTTAATGCAAACATGTGAATTTTTTTTTTAAATTAGAAATGTTGTTATTGAAAGAATTGGCGCCAGGCTATTTACTGAGCAGCACATTTCATGGTGGTCAGGGCTCTCTGGTGGACAAAATGTGTAATGGAGTATTTTTTTTGCTGCAGTTTCATGTCATTAGATAAATCTGGCCAGTGATGCTACTGCTTTGCTTTAAATTTTCACCAGAAAATGGTCCCAGACATTGATTTAGTCAGCTTTTGGGGGTGCAAGAGGAATTTTAGATCGCTAATATGAGAGCTAGCAGGACATGAGAGATGGTCCTTGGCTGGATTTGAATGAGGGATATTACGGTTCATCATCACCCACGTTTAGCGTCGGCTACTCAGATGTTTCAGGATTTTTTTTGGAACAAACTGACATAAGCCTGAACTGAACCAGCTGTTCATCATTTTCTGTGTACGCTTCAATAAATGCTTCTGTGACTACAAGCATGCACAGAAATGAAAGCAGCCATGAGTATACTTTTTTTTATTAAGAAATCAAGCTTTTCTACCCAAACACGTGTAGGAGCTTGACTTCTGACTTACCATAAATCCATCCGATTGCTATCGACTGACACACTGAGAGCAGGAGAAGATTGTTGCCGCTGCAAACATAGTGATCAAAGAGTTGAAGGAAATACAAGCCCCCCTGCAGGAAGACAGAGGGCTGGTTGTTAGAGCACATCAAACACAAAAACACCACACATTCAGTTTTGCTTATTTGGAGGAGATTTTTTTTGCATCAACTTTCATTTACCTCTGTGACGAGAAGGAGGCCGAGGAAGAAGCAAACGGAGCAGAGGCAGAGCAGCAGCAGCTCTCTGCGGTAAGCTCTTCGAAACACAGTCGGAAACATATCTGTGACTGAGGTCATCAGGCACTCCAGACTCACAAACTGCCAGAGACACACACACACCAAAGAAAGAGTTAGAATAAAGCTAAGCTGAGGATTTCTAAATGTGCATCATGTGAATAGGATTTTTTTTGTACCTGTGTATCTGCACCCAGCAAGATGACCATGATGAAGAAACAAATAGCCCACAACTGAGGTAAAGGCATCATGGCTACTGCGCGTGGATAAGCGATAAATGCCAGGCCGGGTCCTGTGTTTAGAAACATATGAAGTGATTTAGTGCCACTTATATCATTTTAGTACAGTCAGAGTTGGCAACCTTCAGCTGCACACAGATGGTGAGGAGGTGGGGGATGAATGGTGGGGCTTCTAACTGTAGCTGAACTGAATTTAACAGTTATTACGGTGAATTGACACTTTAAATAGGACAACAGAAAAGCTCCCGTAACATAATGAATCGGCAAATAAGCAGTAATCTACAGCTGAAGACATCTCTTTTATAGCTTCGTTGACGTTTACTATAGATTTTGAACAAATTCTGTAATAAAAATATATTGAATGACATCTCTTAAGGAACCATAAAATGTGTGTTTTTTACGAGGTGTGATTTACTAGCTACACTTTAAGATGAGCGGGGCCGCAATCTGTATGAAGGTATGTGAAGCATTCATATGCGCAGTAGCTTCAGTGTAATGATGGAACATAACAGCAATAAAGCAAGACAGTAAAATATGTGTGTCTGCAGTAAACAGATCATGTGTCAGTGTCAAGGAAAGTTCACAGTAATAAGCAATTATGCAGCTACTGCCCTCGTGGCTCGTGTGTAAATGTGCACAACTCTGTTTGATGCTGCAGGTGTTGAATTAACTAAGAGGAAAGACTCCTTCAAACAGCTGGAAGCAACACACTAAACTTTATTACATTCATTCTACCTGTGGCTTCATTGCAGTAAAGCTGTCTTTGTAGGACTATTGACTGCTAGTATTACTATTTTTAGAGTGTCTCTGTGATGTCTATGAGGCAGCGTGCCCGACTCTCAGGCTTTGTCCTCAAAGAGGCGCTTTGAGGCTCCTCTTGTTCAGCGTGAGATCTGTTTGGGCAGCGTGAGAGACTGAGAATGAGCATGAAAGCGTGAAAGTTGGCGACACTGTCGAGCAATTCAGGCGAAGTTTTTAGACATCCATCCATCATCTTAATCCTCACTAGGGCCGCGGGCTACACTTAGAGACAGACAACCAAGCACACTCACATTCACACTTACGGACAATTTACAATCACCAATTAACCTCAATATGTTTCTTGAATGTGGGAGGAAGTCAGAGAACCCGGAGAGAATTCACGCTACACGGGGAGAACATGGAGACTCCACGCAGAAAGAACCCGGGTGTCCTCACCAGGACGCCAACCGGCGACATTCTTGCTACGAGGCAACGGTGCTAACCACTGAGCCACCTTGCAGCCCAGTTTTAATGCATGATTTTTTTTACAGTACCCCGAATTCTTGTAAGTGGAGTCAACAACTGTGGAGTATATTGATATTTAAGTGACCACAAACTTACTGATTCAACCAGTCAAACATAGACTATCCCATAAACTTAAATTAAAATGTTAAGAAGTTTTGTAGAAGACTTTGCAGAATATTTAGACAATTTTTATTTATTACTGTATCAGCAGTAAAATGTAAAATGTTTAACATCTTCTATTTATTTTAATGTTATTATTTTAAATGTGTTTGTTTTTTTGTTTTTTCTTTTTACATTTCAAATAAAGGCAAATATCTGTAAAATAATTTTGATTTAAATTTTTTTTAATTTTATTTTGTTCCTTTTGTGTATGTGTTCTTTTTTTATTTTATTTTTTACATTTCAAATAAAGGCAAATATCTGTAAAATAAAAAGGTATTTTTGGCTGGTTTAAATACAGCAAAAACTGCAATTTTACAGTCAAATGCTGCAAAAGAACAACTTAGCATTTGTAAAAAAAAAAAAAAGAAAGAAAGAAAGAAAAAAAAGCTGTTTGATGTGGACAATATTTACAGGTTTTTAATGGTAAATGGTTGTGTCAATAAAAAAAGTCTGTGGTTTTAAAAGTAATTAGTAATTTAACAAAACAGGAAATACCTGTTCAATAACAGTAAACTGTTCACGATCGTTAAAAAACAATTTAAAACAACAACAACAACAAAAAACATTCATTTTTCCCAGTGTGGACGTTTCCAATTCCAAAAGACTGGATATAACAAAACCACAGTGGTTGTTCTTGGTCCGCAACAAAATTTAATTTATTTTAATTTAAAACATGGTCAGTGGTTTTAATGTTATGGCAGACCAGTTTATATTTACTACAGTAGCCACAGTGTAGTTGTGTTCTTACCAGAAGCAGCCACTTCAGATATTGGCAGTCCTTGTTCGTAAGACATGAAGCCCAAAACTGAAAAGATTGCAAACCCTGCCACAAAGCTGGAGCCGCCATTCACCAAACACAGAACAAATGTGTCCCTGAGGAAACAAACAAACAAAAAAGCAAGCACGTCGTGAATAGCAAAGCAAAAAAAAAGCCTGTTAAAACCAAACACCGTTGTGTAAAGTGTTAAAATCAGCACAAAGAGAAGTCTGCAAACGGATGTGACGCAGTATTTCTACAGTAATGTGAAAACTACTGATGCACTGAGAGCTGGAAAACATCGATCCGTCTGTATACGCTGATGATGAGCGGCTTCAAACATTAATGTGCATTAATGGTATTATCTGTTTGTCATTGACTTCGTAATGAGCATGTGGGTGGAAATGCATGCAAGTGTGCAGCGCGCTTACTTGTAACAATCATTGTTGTACTGATTGTAGCTGCCCAGAGCCGTCAAACTCCCCTGACAGATTCCAAAAGAGAAAAGAACTTGTGCACCTGCGTCCATCCAAACCTAAACACAGGAAGATTAGCAGAACGCTTCTGTGAGAGAGAGACTTAGTGTGACATGGATGTATTTGGGAGCGTCCGTGGGGTTCGACTGAGCTCTTCTTGGTGCTTTTGCAGCATTATTATGGCTGTTCGACTTCATTACTTACTTGAGGGTCCACCAACCTTGTGGGGTCAGGATACAGGTAGAACAGAACACCATCCATAGCTCCTGGTAGAGTAAGTCCACGAGCCAACAGAACCACCAGCATCACATAGGGGAAAGTGGCAGTGAAGTAAACTACCTGTCGACGCAGAGCAGAGCAGCACAGCAGGGTGTTGTTTGTTTTTAATTTTAATTACAAAGAAGACAAATCCAAGTAGATGTCAAGGTGATTTGAGCTATTACATCTTTGATCTAACTTCTTGGTGCCAAACAATGAACTCTTTATTTCTGGCACTGCTCGTTGTGTCAAAGATTGAGCGTCAAAGTCAATAAATCATCTTCTGAAGAAGTAACTCTACCTTTCCAGTGGATCTCACTCCTTTCCAAACACAGAAGTAGCACAGGATCCATGCCAGTAAGAGACACAAGGCCAAGTCCCACCTCAGGCTACCGATCTGCTCAATCCCTTGAGATATACCCAGCACTCGTCTCCTGAAAGATAAAACCCATAATGTTGCCAACGAAAGAGCAGTTTGGAGACAAAAACACTGAGAACTTTGTTCGTGACTGCTATCAATGATAAAGAAGCCTATTATGATGGTGAAGATGCGACTCATCACATGATGTGGTCATGCAGGCTGGTCTCGGCCTGCTGCTCTCCGTCATGAGTAAACGCAGGCCCATTGCCAGTGGCAGGCATGATGTTTACCATGTTCCTCATCACAAGTTTGTATGTGGAACATTTGCTAATTGGACATCTGGGATTCATGAGAATGAGTTTAGTCCAAAGCATTAAACTAAAAACATGCCCTTGACGCTGCAGCATCAATAAAGTTCTGAGGTGTGAAAACAAACCCTGCCTGCTCCTGGAGGTGTGAACATCATAAATTCACAGCTCCTCTGAGAAGCACATTTCATCCATAGTTTAGGCAAAGTGGAGCCCTCGGGCAAAAATAACAAAAAGTAGGTTGCCTCTAAGCTAAGACCCTTGACAGATCGTGATAGCTTTAATGTTGTGCTGTGGGGCAGGTCTCTGTTGGTGCTGACAATGATGTATAACCCTTTGACACAAATGAATTGTTTTATTGACTGTGTTTCCTCTGGGTTTTCACACGTGATAGGTGTTCATGTTGTGGTATGTTTTGTGCTTTCATCTCTGTAACTGAAACCCTCTAAGCCACAGAAACCGCTGGCTGGTATGAAAGGCATGTCATCGTTTTCACACAACTGTCACAATATCATTATTTATCAGCTGCAAAGTGTTAAACAGAAATGTATTTTGCAGTAGATTATGGCACCATAATGAGTGACAACATGACAAGAGCATTTTTAAAAAACAGAGTTCACACTCAGTGTACGGGGTGTGACTGTGGCAACTCCCACCGTCCAATAGATTTAAAACCCTGCTCAGCTGATCGCCCAATGAGAGCTTTACAACAGGTCTGTGTTGAATAAATCTGCTTGTCTTGTGTCTGTGTCCACTGTGACTCTGATGAAGACACAGTGGTGCTGGAATTGAACTGTGTTTGCACAACTGAAGGCTGTGAAATAATAAGTGTGTTCCAGCCCTCCTGTTGTACTCTCAAAAGATGACCTGTTGGTGGCACTAGAGAAGAAGTCATGGGATCACCAAGGAGCAGGATCCTTCCCATGGGGGTCATTAATGTCTGTGCCATCTTTAAATTTGAACCTCATGGTGGCACTGTAGGAAAGTTTAGGGTAAGTCAGTGGGATTCATGTTTTCTGCTCTATGGATACCTGGACTAAATATCATGGGAACAGTTGCTGAGACCAACTTTAAACACTTTTGCAGTTTCAGTAAGTGTATTTGCACTGACTTAAAATGTTCAAACAAGTGGCCTCCACTGGAGACTGCTGAGAGGTAATGGGCAGTTATGGGTTAACCAGCATGGAAATGCTACTCCCTAGTGAACCAAAAATATGCTCTTGAATTTCCTGGAGTGACCACTCTGTGGGCCAGTGCTTGTAAAATGTGACCATCTGGTTACAAGAAAGGCAAACTACACACAAAAACAACAGGGTGTGAATCCACCTTCAGCCTCTTGAGAAAATGCACCATCAGCTACGAAAGAAGACAACAGTTAGGATGCACTTACTCCCAGAACTCTGTTGCAGGCGTTGTTGCGTTTGCAGCGGCTGTCCAATTAGACGATGCATTTGTTTTATCAAATTCAACACAAGCCTCTGATAAAAAAAAAAAAAAAAAAGCAGGAGACATTTCATTTGATCAAACTGTAGCAATATATTTAATACATCTCTATATGCTAATTAAATACAGTCACAGTAATTTGAGATTCAAAGGTTTTAAATATGTGCCCAGATTACCAAGACTAACATCCTGAAATAAAGGTTACCACAATAAAAGTGCTGGTTATCCCACCCAACTGCTGGTTTTGGTTTTTGCGTTTAGGACAGCGGACTGTGGCAGTTTGATTTATCTGACTGTACATCTTGTTGTACTTCATTCAATGCAAGCTTCTACTTCCAACAGGCCTTTTTCTTTATTAATATTATATTAAGAAATAAGATGAACGAACGCATAGACTCAAAAATCAGTCATGCAAAGCCTTCGTTTCTGCATCCGTTTGCATATCTACCTGTGTTCCAGGCGTTCCTGCAGCTGGCCCAAGGCACCTCGCTACTGAAGGACGAGAAGAGGTAAAAGAAGGCCCACGCCTGGATGACGATGTACGACACGGCGGCGTATGCGATCACTACCTGGGTGGCATAACCAATTCCTGAGGAGACAAATGACTTACGGTCAGTGTAATAATTACAGGCACGACGGTTTGGGCAGTTAAACTGACATCAGACTTTCACAAGATTCATGAGGTCGGTAAGGCATGGCGACAAAAAAGCTCAAACTTAGTGTTAACGTGAAATAAAACCACACTTGTAGCTACTCTGCTCGGAGCACCTGTGCAAACTTTAGGGCGACTGGCTCTTTAAGTTTACCTTGAATTACTTTGGAACCGGTTTTTGGTGAAAGCAAACAAAAGTTCAGAGAAAAGGCCAAGCATCAGCTGTTTGCACAAAGAAGCACATTGTGTTGAAGATACCATCAAAACATTTGTGATGTAAAGTCAGGATAGACACGTGAGAAATAGCTGCGAAGATCACTTCAGAGATCAAAGAGAGCTACCAGAGACAAGTCAGCTCTCAGGCCATTCAAAATAGAACCACAGGGTGGGTACAGAGGAAGAGAGGTTAGGCTCAAAGAATAAGACAGTTAGGATTAAATTACTAAACAAACATGCAGAAAGAGACGGCAGCTTTTAGAGAGTCCATCCATCCATCCATCCATCCATTATCTGTACACCGCAAAATCCTCACAAGGGTCGCAGCTGACTCAGGGTGAAGGCAGGGGACACCTGGACAGGTAACCAGTCTGTCACAGGGCTACACTTAGAGACAGACAACCAAGCACACTCACATTCACACCATCAGACATTTTAGAATCACTAATTAACCTCTGTGGGAGGAAGCCGGAGAACCCGGAGAGAACCCATGCTGCATGGGGAGAACATGCAATCCCGGGTGTCCTCACCGGGACACGAACCGGCGACCTTCTAACCACTGAGCCACCTTGCAGTCCTTTCAGAGAGTCACTGTGGTGCATTATTTTCAGATTAAATTCAACCAACAAGGATTAGATGATGGAAAGTTTTTGCGTATGAAGTCAGGAGAAGAACTCCAACCAGGCGGCACAAAGGTGGGAATGTTGAAGTCTGAGGCTTTTTTTTCTTTAATTATTTTTCTAATCAAAGATGCTTTCGTGTGCAATCTGCATTTGGAGTCATCGCACACTGACCGTAGGGCAGGCGAGCTTCTATTTATTTATTATCTGAAGTGTGATGCAGTTTTGAAAGCAGATTAAAGGAAATCAACCTAAAAATGATTCAAGCCACAGACGTGGGTCTCTGAGCAGGACAATAATCCAAAGCAAACCAGCTGCCTGTTGAAGGAATATTTCTCCACAAGAGAAACTCAAAGTCCCAGAGCTCTGACCTAAATCCCACGGAGAACCTGCAGCGTGCCATGAAGGAAAAAATGTCACAAAACGCGGAGGAAACTTTCCTCGCAGTTGTTCCAGAAACAGGTTGGTTCCAGAGACAGATGTTGTCCAACATTTCTGCAGCTGGAGCAGAGCCGACTCAACACTGTGACTGTCATCTTCAGTGAAGCCACTATCGGGCATCCGAATGCTTTTTTTGTCTTTAAATGATTACTTTGTCATTTAAAACTTAATATAAAAGAGATGAAAAAAAAAAAAAGACGAGAACTGCGTCATAAAGGCAACTTCATGTTTTCAGTCATACGGATTGATTTGTTGTCTATGTAAGGAAAAAGTGTGGCGATGTTCTGTATGAGTGACAACTAATCCCATCAGAAACGTTTAATCAGCGTTGCCACAAGATGTGCAACGAAATGGTTTAACCTTTATGAAAAATTAAATAACAAGCGTGTGAGCTGTTTTGACTAATGTCTATTAATAGGAATTGTCCAGCAGGCAAAGCAAAGTATGTATAAAATGTGTAGATAGAAAAAGACGTCTGATTTTGACATGAACAAATATAGCATCATCTCTCCATGAACACCGTGTCCTGGCCAGTACCAGCTGCTCATGAAATCATCATTCCAGAAAAAAAAACACTCCTCCAAAACTTTCATATCAATATTATATCAATTTATCAAACCTGTCATCCATTTTGATGGGAATGCCTCCGTGAGACCGTGAGATTTGAATCTAGATGTACGGCACCTGGCCCTCGGGGTGACATCGATACCTTTACATGTTGAAACTAACTTGTTGGCGCTTCAAGTTAGTTTCAGCACCATCAGACAGACTCCTGTGTGCAGCATCATCAGGGTTTCTCAGGTTTCCTAATCATCTTATTTTAGGTCACACAGGTGTAGATTCTCACAGATCTGGACAATTGTGCTTCATGAGCACCTTCTTTGTTCTTAAACCAATTCACATTTGACTGAAAAACACATTTCTGGGAATGAAATTCCTCGTTGTAAAGTTTTAGTTGCCACGTATGTAGGTCACATAACAGCACGGCATATTAAGAAAGGTCAAGAGCCATTTTTATGTCAGCTTTAATATTATCTGATAAGCTGTTTGATTAAAAAATGCACCTTTGCTCTCTGAGCAAAGTTTGCTTGCGCAAAACCATAAAAGAAATGTTTTATGCCCCGGAGGGTTGTTAAAGGGAACAAGCTGCATACTTCCTGTTGAGTAACTTGAATCCTGATGTCTCACCTCGATGATCCTCCAACAGGAAACATTTTCGATTTTGTTTCATGTTTTTCATTTCAAGTCTATTCATGTTTGTGTTATACAGTTACGCTGGTTGTTATTGCAGCATGTATATTTTGGAAATTTATTGTATATTACATGTGATGCACAGGAGTCCCCGGCATCGGCTTGTTGTTTTTTTTTTCTACAAACAATACACATTCAAGTTGTAGGAATTTGGGGTTATCTGTACATCATCTGCTAATTATTCTACAGCACCTTTTCATACACTGACCTTCAAACAGGGGGCAGAAGTGCCTCCAGCAGGTGATGCATCCCTGAGATGTGTACTGTCCCATGGCAGTCTCCAGGAGGAACATTGGGATGCCACAAGAAAGCAGAAACAGGACGTAGGGAATCAGAAAGGCACCTGAAAGACACGTGACGAGCGTTAAAAAAAACACCAAGATGTTTCCCTCGGATCAAATCCAAGACCCACCACTGAGCTAAATATGCTCATCTTTGCCTTTTTGTTTGTTTGTTTGTTGTGGCATTCCACCACACTGACATCCTCCTTCTCTCCTCTCTCCACTTAAGGCATCTATCACTTAGGTTAGCAGAGGTACTGCAAGAGGAGACTGCTTCATTTCTATTTATAGGAGTTCTTCTGGTCAGTCAACATTCTCAGGAATTTACTGCCAGTGCACATTGGAGAAATCAATACTTGTTTTACTGGTCAGTTGAAGCTATGGCCAGTTAAGATGTACATTAACTTGACCGTGCCCTCCATTCCTTCCTTCGCTTGTGTGTTTGTTTGGTGGGTGTGCGCGGCACTGGCTTAAGCTGTGTGTAAAAACTCTATGCGACAGCGGCAATAAATCAGATTTATTTTAATTACAGCTGAAAAGGGCCACCGCACGAGAAAAAGCCTGTCGGATTGACTCATTTGCAGTCATCTTTTCATCAGCGTGGAGCGTCACTGTCATTAACTGAAAACGACTTTGTTTCAGGTTTGTCTTGTTCTTTCTTGAGCGGTTTGATAAAGGAATAAAAAAACAGCATTTCTTTAATATAGCACTATCAGCTTATGCAATTCCGCAGCCACGTCCTTATCATAATACGCATGTATCAAGGTTAAGACGTTGGTTCAAGTTCCATTTTAAGGTGGAGTAGCATGATGTTAAACAGAGCAGTTAACTGTACAGGATTTTCTCATGTGGCAATCCTGCTTACCTCCTCCATTTTTGTAGCACAAATAAGGGAACCTCCAGAGGTTTCCCAGCCCAACCAGGGTCCCTGCTACAGCCAGCAGGAACTCCAACTTATTTGCCCACTGGCCACGGTCCAACAGCTGAGTCTTCTTCTTCACCAGGCTGTTATCTGGCCCAGACACCTCTAGGCTGTTTCCTTTGAGGAATTCCCTTGACATATTAAGAAATGTTAGCAGATTAAAAACGGATCCAGTTAAATCCAAACTAGAAAGTCCTTCTGCCTGCTTCTCATTTACAGGACAAGAACTGTCAGAGCTTTCTAGCTCTGAGCTATGCAAACAGACAGAACTACTCAGCTGATTATTTGGCACTGCACATGAGCTTTATTTATTTATTCATTGAACTTTAGCTCGCAGGATTATCAAGAATGGAAAGTTTTCACTGGCAAGTGTTGAAGCAGCAACTTATTAAAGCACATTTTGGAGTTAGAGCAATGCATTTAGCAGTCCAGTGTAAAGCAAAAAGACAGTGAACACTTACCCCTCCATCACAAAGTCCCCTCCCCCAGGAGCTGCTTCCAGCAACAGCAAAACTGTTCAGTATTCCTCTCAGCTGTGTGCACCGCAGGATCTCTACACAAACAACATGTCATGGGCAGAGCCAAAGTGAGAAACAAAGTAGCTATGGTTTTCTTTTGGCTCCTCTATGACCTAATTATTGTCGGATTGGTCTGCACACTGTGCTGTCTCACTGAAAAGTGTTTGGCTCTGACAAAGGTTCGAGGTAATGCCACTTCCCTTCTGTATTTTTCCACTGAGACAGGAGGACCTTAAGTCATTAAGATTAGCACAGTTGCTAGCAACTAAACCAGAGCAGCTGAGCCGTCTGCTATGTCAGCCACCGTAAACAGGCTTCAGTTGTCTGCACTCTGGGAATTTGTGGCTTTGGTTCATAATTAATGCAAGAACAATGCTGATTACTAGTTCTGTATGCAAACAGTCATCTGGCGTGAGTGACTGAAGCTAATATTGCTCCAGACTCTACACTGTTTGCACTGGTATTTATAGGCAACTTTATGGCATCTTACTATAATGCAGTTCAATTTGTTTTCATCACATATGTTTGACAAGTTTTAAAAATGATCTTTCTCTACCAACCACAAATTAGTTTGTTTTGTTAACATTTCACAGCTTGTGCTTTTTTTTTTTTTAAACCATGTTCCTCTCCAGCAAAAACTGGGAGGAAGGAAGAAAAAAAAAGACACTAGTCATTGCACCAGTTACCACAAAAACCAGAAATAGCTACACAGTACTGCAGAAGTGGATGGGATTGTTTTTCCTTGGTAGTTACACCCAGAACAGAGCAGCAGTCCCGACTGCACATTCATCTGCCCAGAAGTCACTTTTCAATACACTTAAAAGCGCATTCTCAATTAGACTTTGAGGAAACATGCTTTCTGCTGGATTTGTTTGAGATGTGCCCCAAGTAATCAACATATCATTTTCATTTATTTGCAATTCAGGGAGCGGGGAGCTGCTGTCAACTAAAACCCTACTTGTTGCTCTGCTCAAAAGAGGAAATGTTGTGTTTGGTATTTAAACGAAAGACAACACGAGTGACCACTAGAACCCGATACTTACATCCAGGTGTCCCAACAAAGAAAAATGAAAGAAGGGATATTGTGTGCACAGATTCATTTATTGAATTATTCTTTTTTTCCAAAATATATTCACTGTTTTACATTTTTTAATTTACTTTTCTCATTTTCAGGCCTTTTATTTTATTGTTCTTTCATAAAATGGACGTTTCTTTCTCAGAGGTAGCTTGTCTGTCAGGTGGTGTTTATTGTTATGATATATAAGATGTTTATAAGTGGTTCTTAAAATAAAAAAAATAAAAGAGGTGATTTCTTTTATGGTTTTCCTTTCCAGCCGACCAATCACACATCACATAAGGTGGGATTCACCACAGAAACCCAGAAAACGGAGGACAAGCTTCAAACATCGTGTATTTTCACCGAATTCATGATATTTTCCAAACCTTAACCAAACCTTTGGTGCCAAAACCTAAGAAAACAGTGAGGGAAAAAAGAAAGTAAACAAGTGAAAAAGAAACTCCAGAATAATTGCCCCACCCAGACTTATGTAACGCAGAGGTCCAAGTCCAACCTGCACCTCTGGCTCCTGAAGCGTTGCTACTTCACACTGGAGCCTTTTTCACCACTTCAGTGGCGCCAAACTGTGTTTGTTTTAAACCAAAATTACATTTCTTTCAAACTGTAAGTGAGAATTCAGCTGTGTAGGAAATCATTTATCATCACAGCACTTTTATGTCAGATCAACTTTTTGACTAAAACCTGAAAAACTAAAAATGTACCATCACTATATATATAGCTCCATCATACATGTGCTTTGTTTTCAGCACTACTCAGCGAGTGCTAGCATGCTCAGCTAACACGGTGGATTGTGCCCTCAGACATTAGCATGTTAAATGTGTTTTTGTCAAACCACTATTGGACTGGATGTGTGAGGGTCATCTCACTTGATTTTCATAGAGAAACATTAACTAATCTTCAAGGAAGGAAACACAGATAGCAGATGGTTACCAGAGTTCTCCAAGTACGATTTTCTTTCTTTAAAAACTAAGTCTTGCTAAAAGCTATTTCTGGTTGGCTGTCAACAATGGTGTATTAAGAACGGAGGAATGGACTGATTCCAACTCCTCTTTTCTTCAGTTTAGTTGCAACACGTTCATAAAACACGTAAAAAGTTTGGTTAGCAAGGTTAGCACCAGCGCTACTGTCCCATGTAATCAAAGGAGCCAATGGCGGATGCTTATTATATCAACATTACAAACCGAAATCTCAGTTTCTTCCTTTCTACACATCAACACTTGACCAACATTTACGACTAAATCCCCTTCCAGGAGGTTTCCAAAAGACCAGTGATGTAAAACTGCGCTTGGAGAGGCCAAAGCTAGCCGTGTTAGCCATGCGGAAAAGTCCATTCTTTAGCTGACACTGTGCAGAACGCTCTGACTGCACCTCGTTATCATTAACTTAGAGGGAAACAAATAGCTCTGGCATGTTTATGTTCCTTTTGAGCCTTTAAATTAATGGTGAAGTTGTTTCGGGGGAGGAAGACTATGTCACTGCAAACTTTCAACAATATTTGAAATCGTCAGCGTGCAGGAGGCTGTTGTTGTTTCCTGTAATGATGAGGATTTTGAAAAGAGTAACACAAAGAAAGGCAACAGAAAGTCGTGTGAACGCAAAGAACACTGACATGAGATTAAGATAGTGTCAAAAAATCCTGTCCACACGATCCCTTTTTTTAACAAATTGCCTCCATGCAGGAGAACTTTAAACTCTCAAATACCAGAGAAGAAACAGGAAAGACTTTTGCAGGCTTTAAACTGCAGATGTTGACTCAGAGGCTTTGGTTTGTCAGTAAAGTTGTAAATTTAAAGAAACCAGAACATAGTTGTTGTTTCAGATGCATGCTCATGACACAAAGTGACAACAAATAGAGGCTCTTAGTCTTGTATTTACACCAGCTTTAAATAATGTGCACTTTACAAGACTTTTGTAGATGCAAGTGTTGAGGAAAATGTTTGTTTTGCAGAATATTTATGTGAACAAGGCCTAAAAATCACAAGGCACAGCTGCTTTACAACATTTGTTGATGTTCGGCCCACGTCCTCTTCCAGAGCACCGCTGGGATTTTAACCCACAAATCACATCACGGCGGCGGACTGGCCTCAGAAACACTGGTATAGCTGACATATGGCTCTACGGCTTATCTAATTCCACCCAACTTATTTTTGGTGTCCTCTGCCTTTAAGTGTGCGATCCCACCACAATATCTCATCGCACCACCCCCATGTCAAACCAGTTTGTTATGACACAATGAAGCAGCAGCAGCCTCAGTGTTTGTAGTGATAACTCTGGAGAGCAACCGGAAAACTCAGATGCTCATATTTCAGTCGTGTTGAAACAGAAACCCGACACTCAAATGACAAAGTGTACCGCAAGTTTCGTGACGTAATCTATAGGCTTTGTGTTCCTACCTGTGTTCTGTTACAGCAAAATTGAATTATTGAGCGCTTTGCTTAAGTTGAAACGCTCCAGACTTAACATTACTGACGCACAGTAGAGTAGAAACAATAAAAGCTCTGCTTTATTTGTGAGGCTCCTCTTTTTGATACAATAATTCAATAACCATAAAACAAGACAGACATAACGAACACAAGACAAGACAGCTACTGTTTAAGGCATATATTTACACTTTGCTGTAAATCTCTAGAGCTAACAAGGACCATGCTCTCTGTACATCAAATTATTAAAACTGTTCACACACAGGCAGACACTAAGTACATGCTCAAAAGAAGTTGATACTCAGCTGCAAAGAAAACCCCCAACTGTTGAATAAAATCACTATTTAATTTCTGGTTTAAGCAAAAATGGGAGCCATGACTGGATGGTGAAGTAACTAACGTGGAGGCAGGTGGACGGCTGCTCTGATTGGCGCTCACACAGTTAACTCCTCTCGTCAGGGTTGGGACTCACGCAGCGCTGCGTTTCCCAGCTGCTGGTCCGGAGGATGAACCGTCATCCACGCAGCGCTCTGAGGATTGTGTTACACACTGTTCAACGGGCCACTTTCACATCTGTCTGTCTTCCGTGTTTCCTCAGAAAATAATAAATAGACCAGAGCAAACAAAGCTTTCCACCCCCATGAGCGATCAGGTTTGATCATCAACAGCCCAAGAAGCTTCGGTGGGGTTCTCACACACACACACACACACACACACACTCTCACACTCACTCTGTGTATACCTGACTCATTTCTGTCTTCCTTAAAAAAAGATTTATTTATATTATTAATTTTTTTTTTGTCTAGATCTCATACTGTTCTGATTGTTGAGCAGCGTGTTCTGGATTATTTTATAAAAATATTCTCGGAATACTTCAAAATATATCTCGTAAATGCTGTAATGTTTAAAAATTGTACATGCCATGAACTGAAGAGGCACATGATCCTGGAGGGGAAAAGCTCCGTTTGCTCAAATCTATTTATTGGTTCTTTAGAGACATTAAATGTTTTGACTAAAAAAAAGGGGGAAAAAAATAAAATAGACACTGTTTAGTTCGCAATAAAATATTGTCATAGCTTCATTTTAATATTAGAATTACATTTACTTTAACATTTTGGACAAATCCACACTCTATAATTGATAAAATTCAGGGTAAAAGTCACCAAATGTCAGGCTCACTTTGTTTTTGGGATGAAGAGGAGTTCAGATAACATACATCGCATCTCTGTGTGGAATGATTTAAGAATGAAAATGACCCAAATGTTGCTTTTTTTGTTGTTGTTGTTGTTGTTTTTTCTTTTCTTTTGACAGTCCAACAAATGAAGCAAATCAGCTTTTTATAGTCACCTCTAATGGCAGCATGATAAGACCATCACCGCATACTCATTTATAAGCCGTGGATAGACACAGAAACATACAACAAATATTTGAAGAAACTTTTTCCAAAACTGAGACAAAAAACATAAAGTTTATCCCCCCCTCCCTCTCTTTCAGCAAAAATAGTAAGCATGGTTAAACCTTCAGCTGTGCATTCGTGTCACATGTAGAGTCTACAACAGCAGTGAGTCACTCCAGTCTGGCTGTGATGAGTCAGAGAGTACCTGCAGTTCCTCGTAGGTCCCGGATTTTGTCATGCTCAAGCATATTTGGCACTCATTCGA